TCAGCTTCCCAAGTAGCTGGGACTACAGTTGCACGCTGCCATGCCCGGCTAATTTTTTGTATTTTAGGAGACATGAGACACGGGATTTCATTGTGTTGCACAGGCTGGTCTCGAACTCCTGAGCTCAGGCAATCCACCCGCCTTGGCCTCCCAAAGTGCTGGGATTACAAGTGTGAGCCACCATGCCCAGCCGTGAATGGTTCAGTTTTGTTGGCACATAGGATGATTTAAGGCAAAGAAAGACAGGCAGACAGATTGGTGCCAGATAGGGCTGGAAAGCACTGATCCATATGCTACACAGTGATGCTTCTTATCAGAGCTATGCTCCAGAAAGATGATCACACTAAAAGAGTTTGATCCTAGAAGCAGGGAGACCCATTAGGAAAATCACTGCAGTAGTCCTGACAAATGCTGCATAAGGACCTGAACCAGAATATAGCAGCACTAGAGAGAAAAAGGAGTAAAAAGATGAAAACATGGAAGTAGAATATATATATATTATAAAGTATAATATAAATCAGTGACAAGGATGAAGGGAATAGGGATTTTTGAATGTATCTGTCATTTTAGGTCAAAATGTCCAGAAAGGTGTGTTCATTCACAGAATAAGGAACTAAGGAGGATGGACAGGTTTGAGTGGTTAGCTGTGGGGAAATGATGAACTAAGTTTTGAACATGTAGGGGACTGAAGTGGATATATTTAGCAGGCAGTTGGAAATAGGTGCAGGAGATGTTGGAAGTAGAGTAACATACGTAGAAGTCAAATGCACTGAAATGAGCATTGAAGATATGGGAGTATGTGACACTAGAAAAGCATATGGAGGAAAAATGGCCAGGTTCTGAAATGCATGGCATATTTAGGGAGTATATATTAAACACAGGAAATTAGAAGAAAACACCTGAGTTAACACTGGCAATTCAAAAACTTCATGGATAAAGATACCTGAAAATCGATGCTGGACTCCTGCCTTTGGAACCAGACATGTCAGGATTTGGGTTTGCAGTCCTTCTCTCTGGTGTCTTCAGGCTGAGTTTACTTGTAGGAGTGGCAGGATTGCTCTTCAATGCTGATAGAAAGCTTCTACTTTTACCATGATGTTTCACTGTTCTGTTGCATGTTTTACAAGTGATCAACTACCATAAAAAGAAGAAATATCAGTCCCGTCATTTATCTCATAATTTAACCCCATAAACCACATGTTAATTGAATTCTTAAATGTCAGGGACTACACCAGATACTATAGGGGTAAGTAAAATAGAGGCTGTCCTTAGGGAACTTGCAATCTAGTAGCAAGAATCAAATAAGACAAAATTTTTTTTTTTTTTGGGACGGATTCTTGCTCTGTCCCCAGGCTGGAGTGCAATGGCGTCATCTTGGCTCACTGCAACCTCTGCATCCCGGGTTCAAGCGATCCTCCTGCCTCAGCCTCCCATGCAGCTGGGACTACAGGTGCCTTCCACTGTGCCCGGCTAATTTTGTATTTTTAGTAGAGACAGGGTTTTGCCATGTTGGCCAGCCTGGTCTTGAACTCCTGACCTCAGGCAATCCACCCGCCTCTGCCTCCCAAAGTGCTAGGATTACAGGTTTGAGTCACTGTGCCCAGCCAACAAATTTAAAGTGAGAAAATGTTCAATAAAAATGAATGGCTAAACATTTTTATTTAATTTAAAATAGATTTTCAAAGATAATGAACTCTCTACTTCTTAAATATAAAACCATGTTTGGGGGGAATTAGGGAAGAGATGGGAGACGATACTCTTTAACATCTGGAGGAATGTTCTTTGTAACAGCAGTAAGCATTTAATATTTTTTTACAGATGAACTTCAAGCCTCTTCTCAAAAAAAACATGGCAGAGTATCACTGGAAATTTAAGTAGCCCCTTCAAATCCTTAGCAATTTTGTAAATATAGGTCTAAAGTAACTTATACAACCAAACGAGTTGTTATATTCTCACACCTCTTCACTCCTATCATTAGATCTAGAAGTTGACTTTCTTTTCAAGATTCATTTCTCAAGAAATGGTCCATTTTCTAGCTAATTTCCTTTCTTCTACATATCTAACTGACTATGCACAGGACTCAGCCCATGCCTCAGCAAATTAATACAAACTAATTTAAGTGAGAAGTAGTTTGATGTTCATGAGCAGATGAAAATGCCAATGGAAGATCTGCATCTATCAAAGGTCTATGTTGCTTTACACTTTTTGGAAGGAGGCTGTATACAGATTAAAATAAATCAGAAAAACACCTCTAGCACCTTTCTAGCTGACTTCTGATTAAAGTACATTAGAATGTAAGCTTCATGAGGGCAAAACACTGCAAGACAGTGAGGCAGCATTTACTGTCTTCCCATTTAAGAACATTTTCCAAGTATGTGGCAGTAATGATTTTTGAAAACTACAATTCTCCAAGAACTAAGAAACTGAATTCTATACTCACTTCAATATTCTCTCTCTTCTTTCTTTCCCTTTAACCATTCAATTTTATGACAAAGCAAAATGTACCTATGTGACCAACACTAGTAAACTCCTAAATATGGCAATTTTCAATCCAAGTAATTACTAATTATAGTCTTAGGCCAGACATAAGCTGTCATAATGTCCAGTGCCTGGCACAGTGCTGGACAATAAGCACATACTTGAACAGTTGATAAATGTTAACATAGAATATGCAGGATATAAAGTGTATTTGCTACTGGCCTCCGTATGGTAAACCATACGTAATCTGATTTTGGTTGTTTTATTTCATCTTATATCCCCAATATTAAATGTTGCTTGGCATATGATAGACCCTCAATAAAATGTTTAAAGAACAAAAGGCGCATTCACCTTTGTTGGGCATACCTGTAAATACACACTGATATGGAGTGGGAGGACAGCTGAAGAAGTGGCATGATACCTACATACATAACATACTACTATTTGAAGCAAAGGACCATTAACTGAAAAAATAATGTAGTGGTAACCGCAATCTAGGTGGAGTCATAATGGTCAGTTCAAGAAATCTGCACGTTTGTGAAAAATAATGCTCAACAATGGGATCTCAAAACAACTGAGAGCTCACCATGTTTGGTTTAGGTAATCATGAAAAATAAAAATAAGCTGTCCTTATAATGAAACACTAATCATTAGAGAAATAGTTTATGTATATATTTTGATAATCCAAATATACTACTATAAATCTGAGTTATATCGAGGTTGATTCTTAAACTGATTTTAAGTGAAAGAAAAGAAAATTCTAGTTTACTCATACATACTGGACTGAAATCTTACCAATACACTTTTGGAATCTTTGAACTTTTTCACAATTTTCGCTTCTTTAAAACTGAGTGTATAGTTTCTCGCTTCTCGATTAAGAAGTTTCTGTATTTTGGGTGTCAACTTGGCTTTGGGTTTGAGACGCACTCGAGAGTTATCCAGAACCAACAACTGGAAACAGTATGGACACGTTTCTTCAAAAGTGCTCTTATCATCTAAAATTATACAAATGAAACTCACAATTCAGCAAATTAGAATGTTTTGTTACCTCAAACTGCCAACACTATAAAAAGTATATTGATATTTAATACAAGCAGATATACATTTTTAAGTAAACTCAAAATATAAACATTTACAAAAAGACAAATTGGCAGTAATTTACTTTGCAAATATAATTCCATCCATTCACTCCTTTCAGCAACAGACAGACAAATCTCCAACCTATGCTAGCAAATCCTGTAGGCTTTAAAATATATCCAAAATCTAGCCACTTCTCATTACTTGCTACTAAGTTTTAAAAGGCTGTTATGTTTCACCAATTTTACCAGTGCATTTACCACAAAATAACAAATTGCACTGCGATTTTGTTTCTTTTTTTAAATAATTAGCACAATGAATAGTATCTACCATTGAGCACTGTGCTAAGTGCCAGGGATATAGCAGCACTTATGAAGCTAAAGACCACACTTAAATTTAGCTCCGCCAAATGTGAAATT